TGGATGATGATGATGATGATGCAGATTGTCTTAATGGGATTGTGGGTATGTTTCAATCCCAACCACGGCTTTTTGCATGGTTTGGCGCATTACATACCTGCAGACCAAACGACATAGTCTGGGGAAACGCTATCGAGGATGTTCTTGGCATCGGCGTCGCTTTTCACATCGTCGAGACTGGAGAGGAGGACGTTCAATTTTCCTTTGGCGCCTTTGCCTAGAGCGAGGATCTCGTTCTCGTGCTCGGCGTTGCGGATGACGCTGGTGACGTTCCAGGAGCGGGCGAGGAGAAGCGGGGTCAGTTGCAGGGCTACTTTGCCGTGGCCGCCTAACAGGAGGACTTGCATGGTGGTGATGGATCTGTCGAATTGATTGATATGTTAGATAGAGCTGGATCAGTTAGTGGAAATCTGATAGAGAAGATTGAGAGCTGGTATGTTTGAGCTTGATGCTCCAGAGCTGGAGCTTGTTTTGTTAAGGCCCGGCTCGGTGCGGAGAACGGATTAGTAATGCCGAGAGGGGTTGATGTTTTTGAGCTGTTGGCTGTTAAATACTGTGTAGGAAGATACTGTATAGTAAGTACGTAGTCAGTGGTTACACCGCGGTCGGATGGTGTCATGTGCATGACCGTCTGTTTTGTCTACGGCGTTCAATGCATACGCAAAGTGTCACAGCTCTGCAGGCAGCAGCTCTTCTAACTTTTCTCCTACGATGTTGTGTTCGTGCACAATGTCTTAAGGTGCTGCAAGGGCGAGTGTGGGATCGGAACCCCCATTGTCCTTTGCAGTAAACATCTCCATGGCAGCCAGCCAGCCATCTGTTCGATAGAGATCCGCCTTGCGATGCCCCTTGATTAACCAATTTATGGTGATGGTGTGGTTGTCGATCAGACGAGCCTTGCCAGGAGCCGGATTTCAAGGCTGGACTGCTGGTACTCGGCAATCAGGGTGTGTGTATCACACTAGGATGTTCCAGGAGCACATCTCTCCTCAATTATGTGTAAAGATCCAGACCAAGACCAGGTAGATGGCATTGGGGATATGAAAGGAACTCGCATCTCTAACCCCCGCTGGATGTGAAACACCGGCCGATCGGTTGGAAGGAGAAGTCATTTCCGCGCGAAGCTTGAGCAGCGGACGATTTGGATCCCAGGACCCAGTCGATCGGGGAAAGATTGGTCCTCTCTCTTTCATTTTCTTACTCAACGAGAAGAGAAACCTCGAGCCGTGGCTGATGCTCGCTCATAATAGCGGAAATTATGTGTTCGTTCGTTTGTTAGCTAGTAAGTTAGTGGATGTCTGGAACCTAGGGTCGAATGGGATTAGTCAGAAATGCTGTCCTCTTCTTTTTTCCCCTCTTCATTATGGATCTCGGAAATTGAATTAATTAAGGGAAGGTCGAAAGGACTGATCTGGAACCCTCGGGAGGAGTCGAGGATTCTTGGTTGGGCCTTTCTTGGGTCTGGTCCACCACCGGTTAGCGATAATTCCAGCGCGGGAAGATATGGGGGTGTTGTGCCTTGACCTTGGCAGCATCTGCTGGTTCTTGTCTTGTCTTGTCTTGTTTATACTATGTAGATGAATGAATGACAGGCTGCAGGAGAAGATGGAGACGCGGGATGGGGACGAGATTAATGACTTCATTATGATGTGGCTGACTATCGTAGATATTATTTACTCCAGTTATGATTTTTTCTTATCTTATGCCGCGTATGCTAAACCAAGTAAGTGAGATGAGAATGATTATTGCAGTGCACCCACCGACGTCGTGCCTGTGCCTTTCTTTCTTTGTTTATTTGTCTGTGCCAGAGTTCTACCGAACGAGCGGAGATAATCCGGCCTAAAGTCCCGTCTGGTCTGCCACTACCGGACTCTTTCTACAAATCTTACCCATTAGCTTCATTGTAAATACCTACTGTGTGCTCACGAAGATTCTAATATTCTCTCCTCCCTTTCTACTGTGTACTATCAGTCAGTAGTGTATAGTTTCCGTACCACTGGGCGTAATGACCCCAACCAAAATATGGTCTAGTCAGGGGCACAACTGGCTGGCTGACAAACTGCTAGTCTGACTGCTGGCTTGATCCTGTGACTTGACTTTAATTCCCCTCGGGGTGAGGCTGCTCTCTCCTGGGAAAGCCCCATCCGAATAAAGGCGGTACCATACCCGTAAGGAGGAGGTAAAAGTAGTAGAGCTAGTTGGTCATCAAAATCCAAAGTACGGAGTAGGTTCGACCATCCAACGGCTGTCAATTTCTTTCCCGAAACCAGACCCGTGACCCTGACTCGGTCACTCTACTTTTTCTGCCTTGCTCTCTCCATTCTCTAAGCATCCACCAAATGCTTAGGCTCACCAGGACTATCAATGGAGACCGTGGATGACGTACTGGATCTCGAACCTCACAAACCGGTCCACCTTAACCAGAAGCCTGATGAACCATGCCGCCTGGTCCGCACGAGAATCCGGTTCCCAGTCTGATTAGTCAGGACTATCACTTGTCGGAGCATGAACTTTCTTGAGAGACGGTTCGGATTAAGGTGCTCCTCAGGGTTATATCCCCATGCTGCTAAAATTTGCCTTGCTGATGGCCCTGTTTGGCTAGCGAGTCATGCTGGACCTCTTGTTTGCCCCCTCTCTCAAAGAGGGGTATGCGCTATTTCATGCATGTTCAATTATGGCACTGGATGCGCTCCACGGAGTACTCCGGACTTACAGTATCTAAATCAGTATTTGACATTGGTATGGCGCGGGAGGAGAGCTCAGATTGCGGAGCACTTCGTATGCTTTGATCGCGACTAGCTGCATCGGATACATGTCCATGCAGGAGGACTGCAGGCCATGTACTCCGATTGCGTCCGTGAGTCTATCTAGGACGACGCGATAACCGTCTACTAATGCCGAGGATATCAAATACTCGCGTCGACAGTAGCGTGGGGACAGACACCTCCGACTAATCCTACTATCGATCCAGTAATATGATGGTGGTGACATGGTGTAGTCTACCCGACGGCAGTCGAGATGATCGTCCCGCTCGTCCAAATTTCCGGAACCCCTCTAGCGGTCTTGGGATAAAGTTCAAAGGGTATGAAACAGCATCCGATAGATAGGTCATATTCTCGCGAGGGTGAGGTGGAAGAAAGTCCCAGTTCAGCTGGTCGCTTCAGATTTTTGCCTCTGAAGGTAGCCCCCCGATTGCCCGATGAAGAGGGTCCCTGAAGGCAGCAGTTGCTTCACTAGATTTCAGAATACCACCAATGAAGTTTGTTTGTGGGGGTTGCACATCAGAGCGTTAAGTGAAGGGTGCCCTGAGCAATACTAGCCACTTAACTACTTAATTCAGTTGTACTCGAGGTCGCGAGGACTTTTTTTGAGGCTTAGGCTTCAGCCCTCAGCCCCAGATCGGCCCACATCCCGTGAGACGCGGTCATAAATGATTGTGTAAGTGAAATGTTTTCGTTGTCTTTACTTTCCGTAAACGAGATTGGGTTTCCGGTCATGATGAAAGAGAGGGATATTAAGATTGCTGCTTGTTGCACAGTCCCAAAGTTAAAATGGCATTTATAAGTAGTAAGTTATAGGAAAGGTCGGCGAGAAGTGGTTATTCAGTTGTCATCAGTAAGAGAAGAGAAACAAACAAACCTTGGCAGGTACTCTTTCTAAGTAAGTAACCTCCTTCCCAGCCAGTGCCAGGGACCACAATACGGTAATAGGAGAGGTAAGTAAGGTACCCGACCAGGACCCAGTGACCAGAGCTCCATCCGATTTGCAGTTCATTTCATGGTTGGTGGAGCCTGCAAGGGGCAATTGGGTCCTGGTCGGCGGTACCGTACGGTATGGACAAGACTAATCCATGGATTTCGTGACAGTTTAATCTGTTTCTGGTTCTGTTATGATCCAGGCACCGGAGCACAAGTGGAGTCGGTGCCTGAGGGGAAATAATATGGTATGCCCCCAGTTTCCAGCTGACTGAAAATTCGAGGTTAAGAAGTGACTAGCAGTAGCTATTTTGCAAGGAGTTTCTTCACAAGATTGGTTATCAATTGCGGTGAAGAACAAGTAAAGAAAAAAAAAAAAAGAAACAACATAATAAGGACAGCCACGCTGCACTGAAAATTCGGCCGTCGGAAGATGAAAAAGACACATTGAAATGGGATTGGAAAACTAGCCAGCGAATCTCGTGTCGATCCGCTTTGGGTTCCAGCGACCATCGCAGCGCTGGCCAATTGGGCCCCAATAATGCGATCCCACATAATAATAATAATAATAATAATTCAATCCAGTCATTCAGAATCAGCATCCACTTTCCACGCTTCTGCTTCCCCCGTCAGCTTGTGAGGGACGAAGAGAAGTCTGAAAAGTGGTAGCCCATCGAGTCAATGTCAAATCATTGGCTTTTGATTAAACAGGCAGTAGAAAAAAAAGAAAATGGAAAATGGAATAACACTTTGGAATCTGAGATGGGGAAAATGAGAAAATTGGGACAAAAAAGACCAATACAGTAAACTCCATCAACAAAAATAAAGGGTAACCAGAATGACGATCGAAAGGAATCCAGATCCCTTCTTTTTTTTCTAGTCTTCCATACCTTCCAAAGCGATCGTTGCTCTTTTTGCCCATTTTATTTTATTTTCCATTCTACTCTCTCGCCTTCCTCCAGCTCTCTCTCTCTCTTCCTCTATTTTCTTTTCTCTCTTGCATTGCTTTCTCGCGTCGCATACTTTTCGGTCACTGTCTCTCCTTTCCCCTTCACCCCCTCATCCTCCTCCATATTACCGAAACCACATTCGTTATTCAATTGCGCTTTCAACGCCGTCCCCTCGATCTATCGACTCCAGCAATCAATTTCTTGGGGGTCACTCTCCACCGGATAGTATCCAACCGGCTTCAGCATCAAATAGTAATAATCTACTTACTCCGCTTCCGCTGTCGACGGTGCAGCCACATTCCTTACCCGGTTCATGCAGACGCCCCTTCTGTCCAATCCGACCGATATTAGCATATATCCTTAGTTCTTGGACTTGGTATCTTCATCGCTAGCAATTATTATTTCTCTCGCGCATTATCGACCTAAAAGCAGCCCACCCGGCAAGCGACGCTTACTATTGGCAATCGGCTCAACCTCTCCTCCGTTACACTGGCATTCCCAGGGGATGACCGGGAATTTGGAATAGCGTCCATTCCTCGAGCTATTCCATCATCATCATCACCCTCGTCCCATCCACTCGCTCATTTCTCTCTCGTCCTAGCTCTCACCTGGTAGGTTCAAGACCCATTGAGCACCCTTCCATTGTGCAACCTCAGCATATCTGACGGCTTGGATCTTATCCAGTATTGGCTCTTCGGTGTAGGTGTCGGATCGGCTGTCACTCCTTTACACTGTGAACTTCGACTATCGGATCTCCACCCCCTACGATCGCCTTGACTGTCGCTCTCTACACACCGCCGTCACACCATCATGAACCGATTTCGCAAGACAAAGAAGGAGAAGGTGAGGGAAGATGGCGAGAACTCCGAAGCCAGCTCGGTCAGCCTCAGCTCTATGTTGTCAAAGAAGTCCAAGAAGGAGGAACCCGAGGAAAAGCAAGACTTCGACCTTTCCAATGCATTACCCTCGACCGACGACTTTCGCACCAGTCTCCTGATGCCCAAATTATCCGCACGATTCAGCATGTTGAGGGAACAAGACGATCCGGAATCAATGATCGGAAAAGCCAGCGACGACAGTGTGCTCTTCCCCCGGCGTGCTTCGCGATTGAACCTCTTTGGCCACAACCCCAGCCTCCTGTCGGACATTGACGAGGTTTCCATTGACGGCAGTCGGCCGTCGATGAACCTTGGGCGCACTCACTCTCTCGCCTCGGAAAGCAATAATGGATATGGTACGGACGACGATCCTTCCCAGCAGGGCAGCATTATGAGCCGGGCTCGTCGAGCCGAGGGCAACAACTTGTTCGGTGGACGACAAAAGGTGTACAAGATACCCTCCTCCAAGACGACCTCAGGAGGGAACACAGAATCCGGACGAATGGGGGGCCGTGCGCTATATGACCATGATTTAACCATGTCATCATTCCAACGACTGAAGATAGCCGAGCGCGAAAATGCGGCGACTGAGGACACACCGCAGGACAGTCCGACCCAGGAATCAGAGGATGCACTATCGAGCGCTGGCTCCACAAAGCGAACAACTTTCTCCTCAACGGCATCTGGGCCCATTTCGAATGGGCGTACATCAACAGCGGCAACATCTTTCGACGAGCAATCTTTCATCGCACCTCCGTCGCAAACAAATTCGGCGGACACGCAAGCCTCCCAGTCTAAGCCGCCAGTGCCGAACATGGCTCCTGAGCGTGGCTCGGTCAAAGCCCGCCGTCTGTATGGACAAGGTTTGGCACAGTCAGCGCAGAACCAGCAGACCTCCACCTTGCAACGACTAGAAAGCCTGAGCCGCCAGCGCGGAGCGGGTCCAGAATTGCCTCCCCTGAGCCGTGCCTTTTCTAGAAGCGCCACGAACTTACGCGACAGGCTGCAGCCACTCACTATTGCCGAACCGGCCGGCACCAAGTCGCGGCCGACAAGCCCTCCCTCGCTGCCCAGGTCGCCAGAACAGTCTGCCCGATTGAATCCCAGGGAACCGCAAACTCAAGCAGATTCTGCGTACGGTGCCCCTCCGCTGAGTCCTCCCGCCAGCGAGAATGAGGATAAAGCCCCCCTGATGGCCGCTCTGAACCCGGAAGACCATGGGAAAGCCACAGCAGCCGGCCTATTCAATAAACCCAACAGCATGTTTGATGAGAGCCAGTTTACACGACGTCAGTTGCAAATGCATCAGGGAAGAAGCACGCCGCCTCAAGGGCGGCTACCTCCCCTGCCTGTCCAGGCTATCCCCCAAGAGCGCGCCGGCCGTGCCAGAGGGCTTTCCAACACGAGCTATGTGTCCAGACCAGGCTCTGCATCTTCTCACTATAGCGAAGCTCAACGGCCAGGCAGCCGATCCGCGGTCAACTCCCCTCCCACAAGAAATGACAATGGCACGTTCTTCTCCAATTCCAGTCCTAGTGACTCGGAGGATGACGGCGGTGCTTCCCGCTACGCCACTGACGAGATCCACCCCGCGCTTCGGCCGGAGACACCCTCCAAACCATCCACTCCCACTAGTGAGCACCGGAGCCCTTTGCCTGAAGTCAGGTACTCGGATCTTGGTGACCTGAAGCCTATCGCGGAGAATGAAACTATTGAGAGTGGACTCGATGATGATGGCGGCCTTCCTGAGAAGCCCGATTCACCCACATTGGGACCGGCTGGCCTGGGTCTGAGCGGCCTCGTTCGTACTCACTTACGATCCAACAGTGACAGATCGTCCATTTACCCGCCTCCTTCTCCTGGCCTTCCTTCAAAGCCTACGGACACCGATATCCCAGAGGAGCCGGTTCTGCAGAACCATGCGGGTGCCCAGAACAGTGCACACTGGCAGAACGAGCTTATTGCTAGACACAGACGCGAAGGTAGCACGGAGACACAGAGGGAGCGCGAAGAATTTGCCAATGAGTTGGCCGAGAGGCGCAGGAAAGTGCAGGAGAAGCTTCGAGGATTTGCAGAGGGAGAAAGCCGGTCGGCCAGCCCTGTTTCAGGCCGTCAGACCCCGGATTTCACCCCAAGCAAACCCGGAAATGCCTTTGCCTTCCTGAAGAACAAATCAGGAAAGCAGCATCTGAAGGGTGCAAGGGGCCTCAACCTTGCTAATGCATCCACCCCGGCTTTGGTCTCGGACGACATGTGGCGCGAAGAAGAGGAGAGACCATCGTTCAACTTTGCGAAGCACTCCAACTCCAGCTCGCCACATATCGCTGGAGAAAGATCCTTCCGCTCCAAAGTCTTCGGACGCAGCAGCCAGGAAGATTCTCGCGAGTCCAGCCGCAGCCGCGGTGCATCTCCGCACTCCAGCTTCCGTTCTCGCCGGGACCGTTCGACCTCGGATGCCTCTGGTCGTTCCAAGAGTCGCACGCGGCGAGACAGAGATGGACTGGAGACCCTGGAAGAGGTCGCTCACGGTGTTCACAGGCCGTACGCGTTCCCTGATTATGACCAACATGGTCAGGCTTCTGTCCCAGCTTCCACTCGTGCCTCTGCCGAAGTTAGCGAACCCGTCACGTACGATCGGTCCGCTTCTGCCGCTTCGGGAAGATACCGTAGCGACAGTCGATCTGCGGTCTCGAGCTACCACGAACGCCCCTTTTATCCTCCAGCTCCAGCTGCTAGCACTACCTCCCTGATCGGTGCTGCTGCCCCACGGCCTTCGCCTATCGCCCCCTATTCTGCCAATGCCACACCACCTTTGGAGGATATGTCTCAAGGCCATTCGTTAACCCCGGTGACCACCAATAGCTCTACCACTGCACCTCCCCCGCGAGCTCCGGGTCATAACGCTCTCCACAAGCGACCAGTCACCAAGGCGCTGATCTCCGAACCAAGATTCGTCTCCTGCACTTCGAACGTACCGACCGTTGGTCTCCCTCCCGGCGCGAGCTTGAGCAATGGCAGGGAAACGCCTCCAGTCCCCCCTATGAATCCTCGCCGCCGCCGCCAGACCACCACACAGACTATCCTTGGCGCCCTGAAGGGTGAAAGACACGAGTCGCAGTATGCGCCATCGCTCGACGCAGCCATGATGGAAGAAACCAGCAATTTCTCCGACGATGGCGAGAAGCGGCCCAGATCCCGTGCCCGACTACGCAAAACGTCCAGCGAGGGAGGCAACCTGAACGCAAAGGCGCGGCAGCAGCTTCAACACCTGATGTCTGAGGCACCGCCAGCCGTTCCTTCATATCCACCACCAAAGATTCCCATGGATGGAGGCATGTTCTAATCCTCATCCTCAAATCACGAACCTCATTCAATCCTTTCTTACTCACTTGTCCCTTCCTTCCCTATTTCCCTTTTCCTTTTCATCCTCTATCTCCTTCCTTCATTCACCTACCATTCTCCGATCATGATGTATTACTCGATGTCCTGAACTAGCATTCTGCATTTTAATGTTCGATACCTCTCGTTTGGAATTCTCGCATACATCATGATATACCAACAGCGTTATGTTGAGCGGACAGGACCCGGCTGTCATTGTTTCCTATTCTGTGTGTGTTCATTTTCCATTCATTCTCATATCTCGTCTAGCGGATTTTCCTTGTGTTCTATATCATATCATACCATATCCCACAAGTTCAGGTTTAGCCTATCAATACTGAAAGATAATCCAAAGATTGTTAAAGATATCCTTCCTATCCCTAATAATAATAGTAAATGACTACTTCATCGACGACCATTCCTATCCTCCCTCGTAGTATTTTCCCCAATCCAAAATAGCAAGCCTATCCTTGAATCCCTAGGTTTTCAACTCCTGGCAGCCACTTGTAGCACGTTAACCAATCAAACCTCTACCAACCCAGCAAAACCCAGGCAATCTAGCAAGCCAGCAAGCCAGCCAGCCAGTCCAGTGAGACCAGACACCCCCATTCACCCGTAATTAACAAATCGTCAGGCCAAAACGCACCCAAAAATAGTAAGGTTGTGCAGAAACGAAGAACGGAGTGGGTCACGTGTTTCAGGAAGCCCTGTTCTGCACGATGTCTGCGCAAAACCTCACCACCATCTCCGTTATAGGATTCACGTGTAGATACGAGATGCATGCATTCCTTTTCTTCCTTTCATGGATTTTGATTCCAAAGGAGGGGTTTTTGATGTGCATATATAGTAGTTATGTGATTTACTAAGTATCTAGCTATCGAACTGAATTCCTTTTGAAAGGGGAAAAAAAAAATGAAGTATGATAGATTCTACAACGGTATCAAGACCAAAGTGTCTGTGCAGATCCGCACTCACCCCCACGGGAAGAAGCTATACTCCTGTTGCATAATCGTCTAGGGAACTGAATTACCCATACGGCTGGAAATTCTAAAAGCAAAGTAACAGAGAAACTGTTTTGTTTGATCAATTTAGTAAACTATCTCTCTGGAGTGCATAAGTGAATTAGTAAAAATGTAAACAACATATCTGTTTTCTTTCTTTCTCGTGTTGAAGCTCTGACTACATCTATCTCTCCGAGAAATAGTACTTCGAGTAAGTAAGTCAGTCAGATTCTCAATCATCATCGTCAAGGTTTCTTAGGATTAGGTGAGTGGTTGGTTGTTGAGAAGATCATCATCATCATCAAGAAGCTGATCGATAATCGGTTCGTCTCATAGTTCCCATCAATCTTTGCTGTGTTGATTCTGGATTGCGAAACTATTTCGATAGGCGAGGGGGAAACGCGAATTAGGTGAGTAATGGATATTCTTTCGTTGTTGTGTTGTTTCTTTCTTTTTCTTTTATTTAATCCTTCTCTCTTGCTCATGCCGCGTTTAGTGGTGTACGTCGTTATGCCACGTCGAAGCGAGTCTTTCTGCACGTCTGAATTACCCTGCGTCATTGAAGACCTCGACACGTACTTCTGGATCTCACGAAAGCGCGGCGAGATGGGCCCGGAAATTCGTCGGACTAAGTCTGCGGACCCTGTCCTCCCTTCCGTGCCGCAAGTGGACGGACCGACCGAACAGCGCAAGGCCACCAAGAAAAGTAAATCGAAGAAGAAGAGTAACAATAAGAAAAACAAAAACAAGGGAAAAGGCAAAGCTGTTGAGGTTGGGGTTGAGGTCGAGGACAATGTTGTTGTTGTTGCTGTCGTTGATAGTGGCTGTGACGTGGTCAAGGAGGGACAACAACAGAAGCAGACTGAGAACGGCGATAACCATCGTGATGATGATGTTGTTGCTGCTACTGATAGCGCCATTTCTACTGCTGCTGGTGGTGAAGAAGTCAAGAATGGTGATAATATGCCTCCACCCTATTCCAGCGCGGGAGAGGACACAAGCATTGGCGAGCCTGCCTCTTCGGTGGTGACCAACTCGCCGGTGGCCAGAATGGCACCGACCGCCGAAGCAGCTGTTCTCAAGGCGAAGATCTTGGAAGCGATGAAAAGAAAAGAAAGACTCGAACGCCAAATCCTAGAGGAACGCAACTCTAGTGCTCAGGCTAGCTCGTCCCAGAGATCTGTGCCTGCTAAGTCGGATACTTCGTCCATTAGCCAGCGACGGCCTGACAGTGGTAGTGTCGACAATCTTTCGCACGTCAACCGTTCGAAGCACAGTCCAGTGAGTGAGATGCGTGCCACTGGCAAAAATTCGCAACCTTCCACCTCAGTCGTGGACTATTCTTCTGAAGAAGCTGTACGTACTTCGGGCTCGCGATCCGATGAACCTGATAGCCAGGACCATTATCGTGCTGCTGACGACAGAGAAACTCAACAGTACTGTCGGGCTCACATGCGGGCTCCTTGCCGCTTCGATCCAAGCTGCTGTGTTCACAAGCCCATTCAAGGATGCAACTGTCCCCCAAGATCGTCTTGCTGTTGTTCGCACCACAAAGGCGACTGCTGCACCTGCTTGACATATCTCAATACTGTGTCGGCCAAGAGCGACACTGAGACACCCAGCGATGTCGGTCAAGGTATGGAAGGCGGTAGTACGGTTGCTGAACGCAACACTTCGATTGGAAAGAAAAGTGAGTCAATTGTGTAAATGACACTCTATTCGGATTTCGAAGCTAACAGAGTGCCAGGCGTGGTAGATGAAAAGGGCAAGGGCGTGGATTCACTTTCGACACATCTCATTCAGTTGTTCGAAAGTCGTGAGCTATGCGATTTTCACTTCAAACTGACGTCGTCGAGCAATGGCTTGTACCAATCCACCATAATCCCCGTGCAGGTGGCCGTTATCGCTCGCAGCCCGTTCGTTGCCGCGCTCCTGCGGACTCAACTTTATCGGGAAGGACACCGCGAAATTGCTGTGACTCTGGGTGACCAAGTCAACTTGATACAGGGATTCGAGCAAGCGATTCGCAACCTGTATGGGGCACCCCTTCTCCACGGCGAGCAGCTGAGAACCGAGGCCCTTGCAGTACTGGGGTACACCGAAGAGTCTCAAAGCATGTACCCATTCCCGATCAGAACAGCCATGCTCGATTTGGCATTTTCGTACGCTGCATCTGGTGCCTTCCTTCACGTCAGTGGCATCCTCGAGGCAGGCATCAGAATGGCACTGGAGCTGATCGACTGGAGCACTGTCGAAACAATCATCCACTTTGGTCTCCGTGTAGATAGATTCTCAATTATTCTGGAGGGCACTGAAACTCCTCCGGGCAGTCCTCGCGCCAATCATACTCGGTCCGGACATGTCCTGGTCAGAAACCGACAGCTTCGAGACATCTGGGCCCCATTGCTGGTCAGAGCCGCGTTGTCGTTCATCGCTGAGAGCATCGATGACAAGTTCGTCTTGTACTCTCAAGCCCAAAGCCTGCATGTTCCAAACCGTATCCCAGAGAGCTTGAACACTGGACCTGGTGCCATAGGCTCTGAGCCGGGCTCTGCCTCCGCGAACTCAACAACGACTGAGAGCAAGCCAAACCGCGAGACCTTGATCGCCTCCGCTGTCCTGATCAGCCTCCCGTTCGTGCATCTGCAAGAGGTGTTCAGGACTTTGAGTGCACGTCGCGTACTGCCAAACAACCTCGCACAGGCGATAATGAGTGAGAGGGAATCACGACGGTTGCAGGCACTGCGAGAGCTTGGCAAGAAAGGCGAGATCAATGAGAAGAACCTCTCCAGTGAGACGAAGGAGTTGGGCTACGGGGAATATCTCGTCTTCAAGAGTGTCTGCAAGCAAGGCAAAGGACCCGTGACGGTGACAACAGAAGTCAGCCTGGAGAGGGAGTGGATTGGTTGTCGGTCGCCAGACGCCAAACAGTAGCGAACCACCCCTGCTCTCCCTGGTGACCTGGAAGAGAGGGGTGGCACGCCTACTTGATGCTTTGTGTGGCTCCTGTGTGCAGGTGATGAAGACAGACGAAAGGTGCTTGGGATGGAAAGGTAGGAAGGATGAGGTGGATAACACAGAAAGGGAAGAAGATGAAGTAGCAAGAGAAAGGAGTAAAGAAAAAGAGCTGGAGCGGTGAAGCGAAGCAATATTGGGTTCTTATTTTCACATCTAGGGATTTCTTTGTGTTTTGTGCGGTCTTGTCGCTTGCTGGAGGGCGTTACTATTGTGAGATTCACTGGAGGGTGTGCACGTGCTCATATTGAATAGCCCTGGAGTCTGTTTTTCGTTCTTGTTGTTTTCTGCACGGAATTTGGCGGACATGCCAGATGAATATCATAACAGTTTCATTTCATTATGCACAGTAAAGTAGGAAGAAATGCACAGACATCTCTGCTTTATGAGCTATACATTTCCCGAGACCATCTATACTTCTATACCTTTATTGCAACATCCTAGACCGTCGACCACTCACCAGGAGCTTATACACGGCCGATCTTGTCCGGGAATCCAAAGTCGAGCTTGAAAGGAGGGAAGACAAAGCGCTGGAAGGCATTCTTCGAGGCCAAGTCGTTCGTGTACTTGGCAATGGTGGCCATATCAGCATCATCCAGTGCTACCAGATTGCGGTTGCCCTCGATCCGAGAGGGGTTCACGGACTTGGCAAGGACGGAGGAGCCACGGCTGACTATACGGATGAGATAATTAGAGATTTTACTCGCAGCATTTGACATGGGAGATACGTACTGTGCCAGCTCAGCAAGACCGTGGCCGGGTCAACACCCTTCTTCTTGGCAACCTCGACGATGGGCTCTGCCGTCAGCAGCGGGCTGCCCGTGCTGCCGAGAGGGCTGTATGCGGTGATGTGGATGCCCTTTTCCTTGCAGAAGTCAACAGCCTCCTGCTGGGGAAGGCAGGGGTGGTTCTCAATCTGGTTGACGGCTGGAACCACGGTGGCTTGGGCGAGGAGCTCCTCAAGGTAGGGTCTGCTGTAGTTGCAGACACCGATGGCCTTGGTCTTTCCGCTGCCGACAAGCTTCTCCATATCCTTCCAGGTGTTGATATGGGAGTGGTTGAGGTGCAGGTCGCGGGAACCGTCAGGAAGGGTGGGGATGTTGGGGTGGTTTCCTTTGCGATGTCAGTACGCGCATCTCCCTGAATCTGAACTTTGCAGGACTCACCGTTAGGGTTCATCGCCACAGGCCAGTGGACCAGGTAGAGGTCAACATAGTCGAGTCCCAGGTTCTTCAAGCTCTGGTCCAGAGCCTGTTCCACTCGGTAGTGCCATGTGCTCCAGAGCTTGGTGGTCACGAAGAGTTCCTCTCGCTTGACAACTCCAGACTCGATAGCAGCCTTGATACCCTTGCCAACTTCTCCTTCGTTGCCGTAGGCGAAGGCGGTATCAATGTGTCTGTATCCAACGGAGATAGCATGGGCCACGGCCTTTTCGACCTCTCCAGGACCTGACTGCCAAGTTCCTGCACAGATATTAGCCAGAAATTCCTTGTGGTTATCTGGAGACAAGCCATACCGAGTCCGAGAGCAGGGATCTCAGCCCCGGTGTTCAGCTTGAAGCGAGTGTCTGCGACGGTCGAAGTCGAACCCATTTTGGCGATATGTGGAGAGAAATGAAGGGAAGAAGGTATGTAGAGACTGCGTGAGGGTGAGAAAGAGGATAAGAAGACAGATAGACGACAAAAAGACGAGGATAAAGCTGTTGGAGAGGGTGGGGGGAGAGGAGGGGAAGAAAAGGGCGACCCCCACGCTGCCCCTCCGCATCCCCGCCATTCGGGCCAAATGAGTCCGAGACCCTCTCCAGCTTCGCCTGTCAATCTTCATCCTCTCTAAGTCCCTCCCATCAACAGCCACATAGTCACTCCTTTTTCAGTCAACGTACGATGGCTGCTTCACGCACATATCGCTTGCTGAGCTCAATTATTCACCCACAGAATAGCAAAAGGGCCATGCAACATCAAGAAGGCGGCAACCCCAAATTGCGGGAAGCTTATTGTTCGATAGCCGTCGACCCCGTTGCAATTAAGCTCCACTTCTCAGGGACAATGGCTCAGTACGCGCGACTGGCAGACTGAAATCCGACCTTGCAGCGATCGTGGGTGCGCCCAGGAATGCTGAGATCGCGACGAGAATCAGGACATGAAGATCAAAGTCCAGCGATCATTGTCATGATCGCCATGACACAACCAAAGAGATTGCAGAAGACATAAGTTTAGCAATGAAGGGAATCTCTTTGGACGACAACGGGCCGTGCGTGAACTCGAGGTTCGTCCGCGTCGGAAACCAGTATCCTTGGATGCGCCCACAGCAGCAGCCAAGACTGGGGCTGGAATGGGATGATTTCACTTTCTCCGCAACGCTGAGCGTATCCGTTGGATCCAAATCTGTAGGACAGATCGCCGCACGTTCCACGCTGGCGGGGGCGATCCCTAAAGAGGCGTATCACCGACATTCTCTGCCTGCGGAAGCCACTTTCCGGGCTCCAGACATGCTCCTACTCCCCAGGACCCCAGCGCCATGGTCTCGACGATTAATTCTCTTCGGATTTCTAGAATCATGCAACGTCATCCACACAAGGACTGGCAGGCGTCGGTCTTTCGGAATTACCGTACATTTTCGGTCTTCTAGTGTGTGAGACATTGATATTTATGCTCCTGATCCTCGAGCCTGTTTTCTTCCCAGCAACAAACCCCAGAGCAATTCTTTGATACCCCCAGGCTCACACACTTTCTTCTTTCATACACCCTTAAAGGTACAATCGCAATGGCACCTGTCGCCGTAGCTCCTGGATCCCCGGTGTTCAACACCAAGCGTGACGGACAGGCTCTTGAGGAGCTGTCGGACGCCATCGACAATGTCAATGTCCTCAAGGACAACATGAAGAAGCAGGAGAAGGGTCTGTACGAAGAGTCCGAGTTCGACAAGAACAAGGACAAGACCAAGTTCCGTCAGTACGAAGACGCCTGCGACCGGGTCAAAAACTTCTACAAGGAACAGCACACCAAGCAAACCGTGGCCTACAACCTTAAGGCCCGCAACGAGTTCCGCTCCAAGACCCGCGCTGAGATGACCATCTGGGAGGCGATGGAGAAGCTCAATACCCTCATCGACGAGTCCGACCCGGACACCAGCCTCTCCCAGATCGAGCACCTCCTGCAATCCGCCGAGGCCATCCGCCGCGACGGCAAGCCCCGCTGGATGCAGCTGACCGGTCTCATTCACGACCTGGGCAAGCTGCTCTACTTCTTCGACGCCCAGGGTCAGTGGGATGTTGTCGGAGACACCTTCCCCGTCGGCTGTGGCTTCGATGAGCGCATCATCTACGGCCGCGAGTCCTTCAAGGACAACGAGGACTTCAACCACCCCATCTACGACACCAAGTTCGGAATCTACAGCCCCGGCTGCGGTCTCGACAACGTCATGCTCTCCTGGGGCCACGACGAATACCTCTACCACGTCGTCAAGGACCAGTCCACCCTTCCGGACGAGGCCCTCGCCATGATCCGCTACCACTCGTTCTACCCCTGGCACAACGCCGGCGCGTACCACGAGTTGATGAACGACCACGACAGAGAGATGTTCAAGGCTGTCAAGGCGTTCAACCCATACGATCTGTACAGCAAGAGCGATGATGTTCCCAGCGCCGAGGAACTCAAGGTAAGCCTATTCCTTTCATTCCAACATTGATTTGATAACATCAAACTAACAAATATTGAATTAGCCATACTACCTCGACCTGATCAACGAATACTTCCCCAACAAGGTGATCAAGTGGTAAGAGAATTGATATGATGTATGATTTTTGGCTGGGATGATTACATGTATTGCTTCTTCTTTTTACACTACACACTACTTCATGCTTCTTATTCCCCTATTACCACCCTAGCATGCACCGCAAGCGATGATCTACGACCTACTGCAGTCACTTTTTGAATCAAAGAACGGGATTGATTCCCTGATCCTTTTCCAATAAAACTCTCGATCTTAATTAATTGTACTCCTCCATCCATACTCAGTAAACAAACCAAAAACCACATAACCCCCACACACCCGGGTGCTAAACACGTGAACACCCGGTACGTAGATCAGATCAGAAATGAAACCAGACCCCACCAATCACCATGATCTGAAAGCGAACAACAAGCAAGCAAGCAAGCAAGCAAGCATCTACACCTCATCTTACCTAACTTATACTTTCAGATTATGAGTATGATCTACAATCATGCATGATCACACGCACACCACCCCGACCAATCAATTGGTTCCTGCCATACTTCGGAAACAAGGTCCCGGGGGCCGGATTTCTCCCCGGGGAATATTGCCCATCTCGGTAAAAACCAACTTTGGAATCTTTGTAACAGCGGAGCTTGCTTTTTTTTTTTTTTTTTTCTTTGGTAAAGTGGCGGGGTAGGTAAGGTAGGTAGGTTTGGTGGGGTGTGGGGCTTGCAGCACTTAGCACTTGGTAGCACGTATGTAGTTGGTCCAATAGTTACGTTACTGAATTAGCTGGGGATAGCTAAGTTGTTGAGCTGTTGCAATGCATAACTCGCATTTGTGTTTTAAGGAGGGTGGAAGTGGCTGAAGTATCATGCATTGAGATGCTGTAGTGAAAGAAGTCGTGTCATCTGGGAGCGGGTAAATGTTGGATTTCTCTTGTTTCTGGACTTTTCGCACTGGTAATATAGTAGTCAGAAAAGTACTGGAGGTGTGTGTGGAGTGATGTGGGGGTTTGGTTCTGAGTAGTAGCTGGTAGTCTGGTGGGATGTATACGAAGGGTTACAGCTTAGCTTAATGTAATGTGGTGAGAGGGCGTCAATTAAACAGCGATCGCGCTTTTCATTAACATGATGATGAAGAAAATGCTAGTCATAACAGGAATCTATCGTGTCTATCATATCTCTCTAAAGTCTTGCCTTGGGAAGACGCTGGCCAGCCTCATCGAAGAAGATCTTCTCGCCTGTGATCAGCGATTCTTGAAGGGCAGCGCCGATGCGGACTGCCTGGACGGCGCCTTCGAGCTTCAGAGGGACAGGAGTGTTCTCGAGACAGGAGGCCGTGAATTCGTTCGCCTCGGTGACGAAGGCGTACTCGAAGCGGTCGTAGTAGTGCTGGGGGATCTCGCGACGGACACCGGTCTCGCCGAAGATGTTGACCAGGTTCAGAGCAGGCTGGGTGTTTACGGCCAGCTTACCCTTGGTACCGATGATCTCGGTGGTGTCTTCCTGACCGGCGGCCATCATGCGCGAGGCATAGAAGTAGGCGATCTTGCCATTGTGGAACTCCACCAGACCGACGGCGTTATCGCGGTCGTTGTACTTGCGCAGGTCGGGCTCAACGGCGGTGATACCCACTGCGGACACGGACTTGACTTTGCTGTCCTGACCGAAGAACCACAGAGCCAGGTCGATGTCGTGGATGGAGCAGTCCACGAAGATACCTCCCGAGAACTCGGCGTAGGCGACGAAGAACCCGGTGGGGTCCAGCTTGTCGCAGGTCTGACTGCGCATGACGGAGGGAGAACCAATTCCACCAGCGGACATTTTGTTGAATGCGTCACGGTAGGAGGCATCGAAGCGACGGGAGAAACCACACATCACTTTCAGTTCGGGCTTCTTGGCTGCTGCATCGAGGACGGTTTCGGACTATTGATGAGAGACATGTTAGCTGCATTGCTAGAAGGCATCGGGGGCAAGGAAGTGGGAACATACGATCTCGACACTGGTCGACAAAGGCTTCTCGCAGAGAACGTTCTTGCCAGCCTCAATGGCCTTGATGGCCTGTTCAGCGTGCACGGCGGTCGCGGATGCAACGACGACGGCCTCCAGGCCTTCGTGCTTCAGCATGTCCTCATAGTTCTTGTAAACCGTGACTCCGTACGGACCAAGGTTGGCCCTGGCCCATTCCAGCTCCGAGTCATCCGGACTGCTAACGGCGACGAGGTCTGCACGGGGAGTACGCTGCAAAAAGTTGAGGGCATGACGCTTGCCCATGCGGCCCAGACCGGCACATCCAACCTTAAGCTTTCTGGCAGACATTGTGATAGTAAAGGAGGAAGAGGAGAAGAGTGTAGAAGAGGAATTGAGTTAGAGAAAGGGTGGGTGGGGGGATGTTGTGAAACAGTCTGTAGAAGATGCGAGGAGAATTGAGGACAGTGAGAGGGAACGACAACAGCGAGGACGTGCAATTTAACCGCACGACGAGAAGCTCCAGCAAGAGTCGGTCTAGCTCTATCGGAAGGGGATGCGGAGAAGTTGGACCTGCCAAAGTATCTTCTCCTCAGGTGTCTAGTTGGCAGGGGGGAATGATTCCAGATTAGCCACTAGTAGTAGCAGAGAAGGCGCCTGGAGGGTTTGGACCCCAGTTGAGATGGCCACTGCGACCCCGGATATCATCCTCCAGAGTGGCTCCGTGGGTCGGATTACCGGTCGGAAAAGGGATTCCTGGAGGCAGCACAGCATTCAGAATAGCAGGCATCCAGGCATCGAGTATGATAAAATAGACCAACCTCCTCATGAGGGGGGATATGCAGTTGGGGATGGATGCATGACTTCTCCATCGATATCCCACCCACTAATCACTTGCCAGTCCTTGAATTGTTGTCAGACACACGAAAAACATCCTCACCGCACAAGGATAGAATCCTTCCGCTTCTGGTAACCACCGGCGCGAGTTTCCCCCGCCGGGGTTGGGGCAGCGGGGATTGGTGCCCTTTCCGGGGAAGAAGACTGGGTCTGGACCCTCAATCCAGCATCACCCGGATCTTTTCGGGGAATCAATCGCGCTCAATTGAGTCCGCCTGGTTTGTAGAGCGGGCATTTGTTTATCAGCAGATTATCTCTGGAGCTATGACTATGACACCCTGAGATTAATTGTTACCTTTCTGGCAATTGAATTCCAGTGGGTTTTCGTTTCTGGGCCATAGGTGAATTAACAGCGATATGTGGCTGACAGTTTAGCTTCAGTTCATGGCGCTTCAAATTGCGCGGACATCTCGAATATCATCCATTGTAGTGTAACGGCTATCATACCTGTCTTTCACACAGGAGATCGGGGTTCGATTCCCCGCAATGGAATCTCTTTTTGTTTTTGTTCTCTACAAGTGCATCTCTGGACTACATTCAACAATTCTGGAGTATGCAGGCAACCACTGCGGTCTCAGGCTCGCCGTGTTAGCGATTGCACCAGTCAAAACAATTGTCGCTTGTCGGATTGCCCTGGCTTTTGCTTGTCGTCATGATAGCAATTGATATTATTTACATGGGTTTTCTTTTCGGGGTGATCCAGCTGAGTGGAGATCCACAAATACTTACTACTAGGTGGACCTTCTCTATGCCGCTTTTGCCATGGCAATTTTACGGTGACGTCCATAGTAGTGCCGCGACGGTGTGAATTGGTAAAACGAGATACTGCTAGTAGGAACAGTAATGGTTGCATTTCTGGCATTTGCAACAATCAAGCGATACATAATTACAACTCCGCCCCTCGCTTTGCATAAAGTGAACCTATGAACAAGTGCTGAATAGAAAGGTGCACCGAAAACTATAAGACTCGCTAAAAACCGAATAGATCTCAGGACTCATTCTCCGCTTTTCCCGCCTTCGACGCAGCTGCTTTTCTCGCCCTCCTCTTCGCCGCTACCTCAACTGGGTCTGCAAAGCCGTCGCCCTTCAGCCATGCCAGCGCCTTCCGCACACCCTTCCCTTGCACTGCAGACGGCCTGGTCTCGAGGATAGACCCAATGAGTGCCCACGCCAGCACAATGATGCATAAGTCTCCGCCCTTCCAGCCCTTCCATAAGCCGCGCTTGACGCCTGTCTTCCAGGCCGAGTCCACGGCTGCCCGGAAGAAGTACATGAAGATACCACGGCTGTTTGTGAGAAAAGCGAACGGAACGCCTGCAAGCGCGCCACTAAGGAAAAACCGTTTGGCCGGAAGCGCAGAGCGTGGAAGAAGGGTATTCCAGAGACAGATGCTACCCCATGCAGAGCCAGTAGATGCAGAGAGGATGGCGGTCAAGGTGATGATCTTCTTGGAGAGTTTGTTGATGGAACTGATGGGCTCGTTCATAAGGCCCTTGATATTGCGTAGCGATAGGGCTAGAGTGACGGTAGTTAGGAAACGAGCGAGCGGCGGGACTAAGAGGAGGATGTGGTGCAGGAAGGCGGTGCTGCAGCTGGGGCTGTTTGGGTGGAGCAAGGCACACGAGAGACTGGAGATTGCTGGATGGGCAGGGCCGGTGATAGGGGAGATAAATGTGAGAGTAGATGGCAGCGTGTTTGGGCTTCCTGGATGTAAGATAGGGGAGGCAAATGCCCTGGTAGACGCATTAGTTGGGAAGGGCCGATTGAAAAAGTAGATTGCTAGTACTTACGGCCACCGTAGGTTGGCAATGTTGGCCAAGGAGTCCACCACATCTTCCTTCTCCGGCCATGGTATCTCCAAGGGCAAGGACTCGGGGCGGCCGCGCACGTAGCTCGGAGAAAGCCTCAAGATGACATTTCCAAACCACTGTTCGTATAAATCAGCGTATGTACCGTGCGAAGTATAAGACAGATCAACGAACCTTGGGTGCGGTCTCGCGATCGAAGATAAAAGCATGGAAGAGTTGGGCGCATGCAATTGGCATTAGCAACCAGCTTCCGAACCATCGAGGTCGGTCCTTGAACCACCCCTTCTCATCTAGCGCATTGAACAGAAACTCCAAGCTACGAGTAGCTGTGTAGATTGCTGCTGTCAGCCGCAGTTGCTTCTGTGGACACAACCCCAGCGCAAACCCCGCGATACTGGCACCAACTGCGGGCGCAAATCGAGACGTCAGTGCTCTCGAGATCCGTGGGTTGCGATCCCGGAAAGGTCGAGCATCGTCTGTACGGAGGTTGGCACGCAACTTGACGAAGAAGCGATAGAGGAAGCGGTGGAGGAGGAGAAGTAGTGACAGGGAGATGGACAGGCGGAAGTTTGGGGAGCGCGTAAAAGATGTGCGCGATGTGTTCTTTCTGTAATAGATGTCGAAGATCAGCCACGCACATGAAACGTCGCCTCATACTCTTGGTGATCGTTAATATGCGTATACATAAGAGAGAACTTACTGGGTTAGGTCGCCGCGGATCCTCCCAGTCACGACGTCAACGAGCTTCAACAGGGAGCTTGACAATACAAACACGCGTAACGACGTTCGAATGGAAGCTTCATTATGCTTGTTCTTAGACCGAACTATAGCCTCGAAAGCTGAAGGCGAGGGGAGCTTGTTCTGGATGGCCGAGGGAGTGCGCGGAACGGCATAATCGTGGAGCAGCTTGTACTCCTTGGCGCTGAGGGAAATGCGGAGAGCGTTGCGAACCACCGGATGGAGGTCGGGGTTAGGCATGGAGTCGGACGCCATGGTGCGGTAAAATTCAACGGGTCATACGCGTGGGTCTCGACGATGGACTAAGCTCACATCATGAGAGACAGGGGATGGAAAGATAGAAAGCAAGGGACCGAGTGTGAGAAAAGGAGGGAATTAAGCTCCAGCGTTCGGGGATTTGCAGCTGACCGTCCTGCGCGCCCGTGACCTCGGCTATTTCGCGCAATCACCTGAAAATGGGCTCTCGAGACAGGTTATACTTAGATATACTTCAATTTTGTCAGAACTGCACTGTGCTGGTTTCATTACGAAATATTGGTAAAGTCAAATTCACTGTCTATATCACAAACTGTTCCATGCCATGTTGCCGTTGCAAGATGTAGAAAGCAATAGTATCACCATGAAAGGCCCCTTGATAATCCATGCGTCCCCCATCATGGGTACATGACAAACACGGTACCTGGCTGGGTGAGAATGATAAGGGAATAATGCTACATAGAAAGTAAGAACGGGAATTGTAAAAGACATGATCGAGAAGCTGAAAAGGTGGGAACGATGAATGATGCCATGCAAAATCCGTTGCCATGATTTGCGCCATAATAAGACCCTAGAAAAACACGAACGGCGCTACAAGAATCACCAGAAACTGCACCATCCAATCCAATGCTGACAGATGTTCTCGACACTGGTGGCTTGCGCAAGAAGCTTGTCCACCTGGTCGCTGACGTTGAGTTCCTCACTCGGCTTGAAGTCTCTTCCTGTCAGCTTCTCCTTGACACGGGCAAGCACCTGGAGCGCTCGCGCGTTCTGCGCCTCTCTAGCTTCGTTGGGAATGCCCTCTTGTGCATCCAAGATACCGCCCTCAAGAATGGAAGGCCGGCGGTGACGAGAGAAGTTGCTGGGCTGTACCCCATGGTCGATGTTAATGTTAGAGACGACTGATTGACGGCGCTCGGCAGAGAATGGCATTCGATCTGGGGACTCGCGGATGCCCAAACGCCAGTTGATCAATGGATCGTGAATGAACTAAATCATCAATCATCAGCATGATTTCATCCATGGGATACAATATGTGCTTACCGCTTCCAAAACAGCCATCAGAGAATCCTTGTTCTCTCTCAAGACACGCATGACAGCCTCACAAGTGATGCGGTAACTTCCTTCGATGTTGCTGACTTCCATGGCAAATGTCAACATACGAGTCAATCGGAAAGGTACCCTCTCAGGATACTTCTCGCGGTGCATCGCCACCTCGAAGCAGTCACCGAAGTCGATATGGACTACTTTGCCGGTAACCCGATCCAGAAGCAGATTGGATGGGTGACGATCGCCAAGGCCAAGGATGTAACCAACCATGGACATGACACCAAGGGAACGCGTGTAGTTCGTGCGGCGCTCCAGCCAGGCCTCCGAGCTACTACTCTTGAGCCATAGAACGCGATAGAGGTCCTTTCCAGTGGTATTGTCCATGGCATAGCCGAACACCTCCACCTTCTGCATGAGTGTAAGATTATCATAATCGGGAGCCATCTGCAGCATAATGCGGTGTTCAATGTTCAGCAGGATACGTCGACTCTCTCGGTATTCCTTGATCAGGGCATGTAATGTGTCACTATTGGAAACCCATCCAAGGATACCAGAGCTCTGTGATAGCGGGATTGCAGGGAACCGTTGCACAGACAGATGCCGTTTGAAACTCTCCCCATCGTTATCAAGGAGTGTGTTGACCAGGCCGAAGAGTTGCATGACACGTTCATCTTGCCGGATGTCTTCATGTCCCTTGACACAATACATGTACGAGTTTCCGTCACTGCCCTTCAATGTCATCCTGCGTGGTCTCTTCTTGGTTTGTAGTACGTGTAATATGGGATCGAAGCTGAGGATGCGAATGATGGGCCTGCCACTTTGGTATGTACCAGGAACGGCAAGGTCAAGGTCATTACAATCCTTGAGCTTGGGTGAGACGTATTTCAAATCGAGCGTGGAGAGCTGTGGCAGCTGCCGGCTGATCTTGCGGAATACGGTGTAGTAAAGATCCCATGCTTGGTTCAAATCACCAATTTCTTCAGTCTCCCGATAGAGCATACAGTAGTGCTTAGCCTCTGCAAGATCGCGACCAAAGGCCTGAGCAAATGACACCTCGCGCAACGTCTCGGCACCCTTATCGAGCATCTCATGCAGGGGCGCTAGAGTTGCAAACATGCCTTCCACATTGTGATCGCCAAAGTAGAGTCGAGAGGCTTCTTCTAGACCTTCATGCCAAAGCTCGTGCCAGAGGACCGCGACTCGAATCAGCTCATGACTCACAACATCAGCTTGTTCCACGAGCTTCGCGCTGTGCTGCCGCATGCTGTCCATAATGTTGCTAGCGGATTGTGATCGCCGAGCGACATTAGACTTCATTGCAACGGTCAATGGATACACCAAAGCCTGAGGATGCACTTTGCCAACTTCAGCCAGCAGGCGATGAACAGCACTCCGCACTCGGATATTAGGTTGATTGATCCGAGCTATCAACTGTGGAGTGACAGCAAGCCAGGTATCAATGTTCACTGCCGTAAATCCCTCTGCTACAACACTGTTCACTTCTTGATCACCACCGTGAGTGAACCAGAGTGTCAGCAACCGCAATGTATCCTGCAAAGATGAGGTCGACGACAATGAAATAGACCTGAGGAAACCGCGAAGTGCAGGTATTACATGCTCCGTCACAATGTGTCCGGGGACCATGGCCATTGTCGTGCCATCCCTGCTGGCTTGGCTAGCAATCGTCGTAACAACTTCGAAGTTGGCCAAAGCCCACGAATGCCATGCTTTGTATGAATCACGGTTGTATTTGGTCGCAGCGGCGTACGCATTGAGAACTTCACGAACGTGCTCTGGTCTCCAATCACCTCGTTGCAACGTTGTCTGCCATTCTCCCTGGCGGAGGTAGCTCTTTGCTAGTAGCCTTCTGAACTTAGCAACATCGCCAATGCGTTCTCGCAGCCCCATGGCATCCGCATGGTTGGCATCCGCGATACCGTTGACGCCGTTCACGCCATTGACTCCGTTTATTCCATTATGATCCGCCTGCGACAACATGAGAGCATTGAACCGGGTAAGGTCCTCTGTCAGACCTGAAGTGAACTCCTTCAACATTTGAAGGGCTTCGCGTTGACGTCCGGTGGCCCAGTTGAACTTCAATCGGGCATAAGTAACTTCTGGGGGAGCGATTGTTTTCGTGCCGTTACTGTCGGAAACCACGGTCTCCAGTGAGGCGAGCGACCGCTCGGCGAGTCCCATGCGGTTGGATTTGCGACAGAGGTTAGCGAATTTGATCCACATGTCGAGGTTCTCGCGAGGAGAGGTGACAAGCGCCCTGACCTTGAGCATGCGCTGCCATACCTCTACATTTTGTTGACAGCCGAGTAGTCGCTTGTTCCATGTCTGGCGCATCGAATCCTGTTTCTCAGGATCGCCAATGTTCTGTTTGTACGTAATGATCTCCTCAAGCTCAGCAAGCATTTGAACACGCACAACAACATTGTAGGCACGGTTGTATGACTCTCCCAGGAGTGCTGAAAGCTCGGTATCCAATCCATTGCGAGCCTTTTCAATATACATCGTTGCTTCGTCAAACTGATTCCGGTGAATAGCAAGGATGGCACCGAAAAAGGACCGATCTGGCGACTGCTCCTTCATTACGCCAAGATAGGAATCCATTAATTCCCACTGGCCCCGACCCCAGGCAGCCGCTGCAGCTAGAGGTGCAATGGCTCTGCGATGTTCGAGAGATGCCTGGTTCCACTTTTCCTGAGCGAGGTCGGAGAGCACCTTCCACTCACCGAGAGCGTGAAGACAGCGCATCTTGCCCATCGTGACCCCAAAGGAATCTGGGTCTATCTTCTCACGTCGTTTGTACGCAGCAAGAGCCTCCTCCCACCGTTGAAGTTTCTCAAACCATGTCTCTTTGAGCTCCACATCCCGGTAAGCCTGTGCTTTTCGCAAGATACCAATAGCAGCATCAGATTGCTGAAGCTGATTATTGATAGTGATTAAAGCCTCCACTGCCCCCGAGTTTTGGTCTTGCTCAAACTCAAGTTCCTTGTAATGCAGGGCCTTCGCAAACGCGTGGCATTTAGCAGCGTACTTGCCTAGAGTGCGAATATCGATGGGAAGGGCCTTGTCGTCATGCTCCATGAACTCCGCTAGGTTAAGAAGAACCTGTAGAATTTCGGGAGGAATATTAGGTGAGGTGAGGGCCTTCTCGATCGACCTAACCAGCTCTTCTTGATATTGGTCATACAACTCAGTCCAGCAGGAAACAAACGCCGCGTTGAAGAGATCCCTCGCTAGGGGCTGATAAATACCAGCCAAACTCGCGCATGCTCGAAGAGCGGGAGAAGGTGACTCTTTCAGCAATTCAACGCTGAATCGTCGAATCCACTCTTGCCAGTCTTCACGAGTAGACTTTTGCGAGGCGTCCCAGGCATTCTTTAGGTGTTGTTGATTGACAACCATCTTCTTTTGTCCAATCTCGGCATAATTGGCGTCATCCGCCAGTGCCGCGTAATTTTCATCGGGATTGAGGTCTTGTGGGAGCGGATCACCCTTCTGTAGCTTCGTCACCAAGATTTGGTAGTTGACATGATTGATCTGGTTATACTTTAGGACCTTATTCAGCAGATGGATATAGTGATTGAAGTCCTGGCCCAGCTGGAAGATGAGCGCGCAGATACAGTCCATAGCAGCTTGTCGCAGCACGCGGTCGGTGCCTGCGACAACCCGAGACAGAGAATGGACCATCAATGATGCGAAGTCCGAGACGTTCACCTGCCGTGAAAGTTTGGTGAGGGTCTCGATCGCAGACTTTCGAATACTCTGGGGGTTTTGGGTCCTGTCAAAAAGACGCACGATAGAGGGAACAATCAGGTGCATATATTCCTCTCCGCTCGTACCGAATATCAAGAATGTGTGGAGGATCTTCTCCGAAGGTTGACGACGCATCGTGGTGTCCTTCTCAAGCGTGTCAAGCATCGGAGGGATTAGGCCTGCAAGGTATTTCTTGAATTCACCTTCCAAGGACTTGGCGATCGCTTCCACGAGTGAGAGTATTGTAGCCTGAACTTGGTAAGACGCTTCCCAGAA